TTGATTTTTGTAATAGCTTAGGCTGTGCCTGTATCTTAGGGTTATTCCCATATACTGTTATAGTTTTGGGAGTTCAACTGTCAGAATACTGAATTAAATGTCCAAATTTGAATCTAACTTCAAATTTACTGCATATTATAATGAAAGAAAATGAAATTCAATTGTGAAAAAAGTAAGGTTTTACATTTAGGCAAGAAAAACTAAATGCACAGGTATAGTATAGGGTGGTACCTGGCTCAATAGTAGTAACTATGAGAGAGATCTTGGTGTCCTAGTGGACAATCACTTAAATATGAGCCAGCAATGTGCTGCAGCTGCCCCAAAACCCCCAACACAGTTCTAGGCTGAAGTAACAGAGGGATAGAATCAACATCACATGAAGTGTTAATACCACTTTATAATGTCTTGGTAAGACCACACTTGGAGTACTGCATCCAGTTTTGGTCACCCCAATGTAAAAAAAGATGTCTAGAAAGAGTGCAGAGAAGAGCAACAAAGATGATTAGGGGACTAAAACATATAAGGAACATTTGCTGGAATTGGATATGTCTAGTTTAATGAAGAGAAGGACAGGGGTGACATGATAGCAGTGTTCCAATATCTCAGGGGCTGCCACAAAGAAGAGGGAGTCAAGCTATTCTCCAAAGCACCTGAAGGAAAGGACAAGAAACAATGGATGGAAACTAACCAAAGAGAGAAGCAACCTAGAACTAAGGAGAAATTTTCTGACAGAACAATTAATCAGTGGAACAACCTGCCTCCAGAAGTTATGAATGCTCCAACACTGGAAGTTTTTAAGAAGAGAATGGACATCCATTTGTTTGAAATGGTATAGGATTTCCTGCCTGAGCAGGGGGTTGGATTGGAATACCTCCAAGGTCCTTCCAACTTTGTTATTCTGTTATTCTGTAATATTCTGGAAAGTCTTCATTATTTTGATTTCAGATACTGGTGCAATGGGAACAAACTTTTCCTAATTCTTTATTTTGTTCTTGAAGTTCCATCAGCTCTAAGTTTAAATCCTTTCCAGAGTAATCTGAAATTTGAAAACGAACCCATTAAACTTCGTGTTTCATAATTAATATCACAAAAAATCAGAATTATACTGATTCTTCCCTCTATCACCTCTATGTTGTCATGATGCCATTTGTATTTTAAACCATAATTAATCTGTGCTATATTAATTAAAAGTCACTAATGTGGTGTTTAAAATGTGACAAAACTTTAGAAACATATCAAAGACTTGGCTCCATGCTTTTTTTAATAATAAAAAATGGAAAAAAATAAAGCAATGGTGAAAACCAAAAAGGGGTTTTATTTTGCTTCAATGAACCTTTTTAAGAAGATTGGTAAAACTGATGCCTAGGAAAGGATTGTTTTTTGTCTCTACTTAGGACTTGAAAAACCGTAAAAAAATAATATTTAAACTTGGGAAGTTTGATAGCAAAATAAGAAAAATCAAAGTATACTTGATAAAATGTGACCTAATCAGTAATTATTTTAGAGATACTTTTATTTCTTTAACTAAACAGACAAATGGAATGGCCATAGGGAGGCAAATAGGCAGTGGGAGTGGGAGTGGGCGCACCTTCTGACTTCCTGCCGGCATCCCCTTTGACTTTCCTTGTAGGAAGCTGGTAGGAAGCATTGGAAATGATGATTACATGACCATGGCTGAGTGCAACAACTTTGCCAAATTTCAGTCCCATAGGAATCATGGGTCCTGTACGTTGGATGCATTCTGCCCATTTAAGATATGCTGATTCAAAAATTATTGCCCTATAATACAAGTAGTCGGCTTACAACTATTCTTTTAGTGACCATTCGAAGTTACAACGGCATTGAAAAAAGTGACTTATGACCATTTTTCACACTTACGACCATTGCAGCATCCCCATAGTCATGTGATCAAACTTTGGAGGATGGGCAACTGGCATGTTATTATGACAGTTACAGTGTCCTGGGACTATGTGATCTACTTTTGCGACCTTCTGACAAGCAAAGTCAATGGGGAAGCCAAATTCACTTAACAACTAGGTTACTAATTTAAGAGATACAGTTATTCCTTTAACAACTGTGGCAAGGAAGGTCGTAAAATTGGACAAAATTCAGTTAACTGTCTCGCTTAGTGACAGAAATTTTTGGCTCAATTGTAGTTGTAAGTCGAGGACTACCTGTACACTGTTTCTTCCAATTGAAGGTTACAATCAAACAATCAGACACAAAAGTTTTAGTAGCATATAGATTTGGGATGGGCAAAAAAAAACACCTTTTCCTGAATTCCTCGCTTGATTTCAGTCTGTATTCACCAGGTTACAAAATATACAGATTTTAAAAGGATGAGAAGGTTTCAGGATTAAAGGAAATAAAAATGATCTCCTAAAGGGCAGCCATACAGACAAGTGTTGAGCTTCAGATTTCCTAGTAATACAGGGAAATGTTCTCATCTTTTTATTCAACATCATTAATTGTTCTTCAGGAATGCAACTGCCAATTGCATCCTATTATTATTATTGTTACTATCTGAAATAACTTGATTTAAAATAAAATGGTAAGTTTTGTTCTTTGCAGCTGCAATCCAGTGAATGCTTTTTTATTTGAAACTGAAATATTTCCACTAGTTTCAATTGATATTTTTAATGTCAACAGTTTTCGTGTGGGCAGGAGTGAAGCAAATTCTATTCTTGTTAATTCCTAGTGTGAACAACAGCATATTCTCTCAATTTTCAGCTGTAGCCCAACCAAGCACGTCTACCCTTGTCATTTAGCCAGACAGCATGGTGAACAGACCTTGTGGCAAGTGGAGCCCTAGATATCTGGAAGGATTAAATGGGAAAAGTTGTACTGTATAGTCTAAACCTCTCTGGGGGATGGAGTAAAAATGGTAAAGATGGCAGTTCTAACCCATGCTAAAAGTTCCTCCTTTTTTAGTATTTGTGATCCTGATGCACATACAGGTAGTGCATCTTGGTGTACAAGCATTATTGAATTATGATTGTTAAGTCATTGCAGTCATAATTGAGGCATCATGGGAATGGATTATGACAATTTTATAATGGTTGTTAAGAGAACACCATGGTTATTAAGTGAATGCTATAGTCATTAAGCAAATATGATGGCAGTTAAATGAGTCCATTTTCCCTATTGGCATTTTTGCTGGAGACCAGAAGTAAATATTGGAAACTGGCAAAAAAAATCACAAATCATAGTTATGCTGCAAATGGCCATAAAAGTGGGCCAATTACTAAATACCAAAAATATGACCATGGATGTTTGTTTGTGGCTGTTGTAATTCTAAAACGGGGGCATAAGTTGCTCTGGGGAGATCTATTGTAACTTTGAATGATCATTAAGCAACTGGCTGTAAATCAAGGACTGCCTGAATAAAAGTAGCAGGGCTTTGACTCAGCAGTTGCAACTATCAACTTTTCACACACACACCCCTGAACTACTGGAAATCTCATGCTGATTTTGAAATGACTGATCCTGACGAAATCTTTCTTGTCTCAGAAAAATATTGATCTCTGGATCCTCCATAATGTCTAGTAGATCAAGAGGCTGATACGACCATAGTTCCAACTAAATTATTAAGTTGATGTTTCCCAATACTGGCCCATCGCAAGTTAGTGACTGGTATTTTCCCCTGCTGTTGAGTGTGAGAGGAAATACTGTCTGGGAAACAACTGCTGCCCTCAGTCATGCAATGAACCTAATCAGACAGCAAGGTGCCCAGTACCATTTCTGAGGTTCAATAAATTATCCTGTGGGAGCAGCACAGTCTGTATCAATTTATTTTTCCTCCAATTTCATGACAAGAGGCGAACATGAAAGTGCCTGTCTACTAGACCAGTGTTTCTCAACCTTGACAATTTTAAGGCATGTGAACTTCAACTCCCAGAATTCCACAGCCAGCAATGCTGGCTGTGGAATTCTGGGAGTTGAAGTCCACATGCCTTAAAATTGTCAAGGTTGAGAAACACTGTACTAGACCACAGCTTTTCAAACTGGGAAACTGCAACATTCGAATTCCTGGAGAACCTGATCGATTCTAAAAGGGAAAACAAGTTCACGTGTACAGTGACAAGGGTGAAAATGACGGCCTCCATTTTTACTAGGAAAGGTGCCTTGGCCATGAAGCACTCAAGAAACAAACACTTTTGTATAGGCTTGTCCTGCCTTCTGCAAACTAATTCTGCTCCAGCCCTCCCTTCCCCTTTCTCTGAGCAAAGTCAAATGGAGGTGGGGAGGCCGGAAGGTTTCCTAATCTGTGCAATGGACCAATACGTTTTATTTCAATTTGTACTGGAAATTGGAACGTTATCTTTTGATCAGTTGTCCGCCTGGTCTAGATGAGCCCGTTTTAAGGTAGAAATGGAGTAGATTCAGTTACCAGCAGCTTTCCCGTGCATGCCGCGTGCAAAATTTCCTGGTCTTGACAGTATCAGGAACCGAAGGATTGCAACCTAATCCCATCCGTCTACAGTTATGTGGGAGTTAGACCCGCTGTGCAAAACTTATACAGCCTTTTTCAATTCAGGGAAGGCACACGAAGGGACCTTTTAGTGCTTGACCCATTCATTTGTTAGGTTTACATCCCCCCCTTTTCTCCGAGAAAGTTTTATGACTTCAAAGTGATATCCATAAATATGACACTTCCCACGTGGCTGAATTATGGGAAATGAACTGCTACCAGGGGTTCTCAACCTTGGCAACTTTAAGACTTGTGGACTTCAACTCCCAGAATTCCTCAGCCAGCAAAGCTGGCTGAGGAATTCTGGGAGTTGAAGTCCACAAGTCTTAAAGTTGCCAAGGTTGAGAACCCCTGTAAGCTAAACTGAGCAAAACTCGGAGTGTGAAAACAGCACGTTCGCGCGCTCGAAAACTAGTATTTGGCGACGAAGAAGAAGGCAGCGCTAGGACCCTCCCGCTTTCTAAACCGCGTCGCGGCCGCGCTCTGCCTGTTGATAAAAGGCTCGCGGCGGCGTTTTGACGTCACGGGGAGTTAATTTTAAACCTGGACAAGATGGCGGAGGGAGACGCGGCTCGGTACGGGCAGCGAGAGGAACAGCCTCGGTTTCAACCGGACTTGACAGGTAACTAACCGCCTGCCTTCAGCAAAGGAGCGCCGGCATCCCTGTTGAAGACAGATGACGGATCTAGAGCCCGGCGGCTTCTTTTTCCCGTTAACGGCTGAGAGCAGGAATAGCTTCCCTCGGGGGTCTCCGCGTGCGGGCGACGGGTGTCGCGCCAGTTGCTGTGGGCAGAGTCTGGGCGAGCCGAGAAGACCGGCGATTCGGTCTTCCCTTCTTCCTTGGGAGCGACCCTTTCTCCCGCAGCAGTGGACTAGGTCGAGGGAGGTTGCCAGAAGGCCTCGTCCCACTCCCGGTGGGGAGGTGGGTGGGTGGGTAGGTGTCTTCTCCGAGAGGGGCGTTGGTCCGTGAGTGTAGACCGTGCCGGTGGGCAGCAAGAGACGGGGGAAGCCGAGAGAGGGGAAAAAGCCAGCAGGCAGAATGACCCAGCGTGGCCAACGGCCGCCGTGACTGCAGCTGCAACGAGGAAAAAAAAGACCTGAACTGTCTGTTGGCCTATTTAGTGGTAAAGGGGAGCGCCCTGGTATATATGTTGCCACTGGCTTCACCCACTATAAGGAGGAAGAATAACGTGTGGATAGGCGAGCGTGGGCGCTTGTGAACTTGACAGAAAGGGGGCGGGGGAGTCTCTTGGATCAGTGATCCCCAGACGTGGGATCTCAGTAACTAGTGTTGCCAGGTGTCCACTATTTGAGTGGACAGTCCACTTTTTTCACATTCTGTTCACTATTTTTTTTTTCACAAAATAATGGACATTTTTTTTATTCAAAAGCTTTACGATAAAATGGTACGTAACCTAAAGCTGTACAGTCTACTTTTTTTTTACTACTTAACCCCCCCCCCCGCTTGTCCGCTATTTTTTGGAAGCAGACCTGTCAACCCTACTCAGTACCCACGAAGGGTAGGTTAGGAATGGCTAAAATAGGCCTGGCTCTTTCCACGCCTGTATCCGCTTGAAGTCAGTCGGAGCGGGCGCCCTTTGCAATGCCTCTTGAGCTATATGGTGTGGCAAGCCTCAACCAGCGTGTCAAAGGAGTGAAAGAAGGCAGTGACCCACGTGGTAGGGCCGGGCTTGGTCCATGATGCCTGCCTGATTATAGCTTTCATGAAGAGTACTTCTTGAGTAGATGTAAATCGTTTCAGAGCCTACTCAGTGTCACTGCTGTGTTGCATTAGACTAGGAGCACTCGTGTTTCAAGGCTTTCAAGTTCTTACCTAGATGTGGGTGATCAAACTTGGGATTTTTGTTTTTTTTTTGCATGCAGAACATATGCTCTTTGTGTGTAATTAGAATGGATTCGGTTGGGTAGCTGAGTTATTTATACAGGCTTTATGCTGTTATTTAATAGTACTGAAAATAGTATAAATGGCACAGTGGACATAGTGGGTTCTAGTGCATTATATCATGTAATATAGCAGTGTAAAGTATTACAAGTAAATTATGGTGCTGGACTATACGTCGCTAAAACGTTGTAGCAAAGTCTAACTGATGAAAGGAACAAACTATTTAAAGCAAATATCTTCTGGTTGGCAACTCTGATAATAGTGGTTGCAGTATTTTATGAAAGGATTTTTTGAATGTATCGTTTACAGCTGGAATATGTGACCTAGTTTTAAATACTTCCAAGAATGTTTCTCCTTTAAATAACTGTTTGTGTGTTTTGTTGCCCTCTGTCTAGTTTTTGCAATTTGTTTGTGGCAATCTTTGCATGAAATAGAAGACAGAGGAATATGAACTTTAATTAAAAACTGGAGGCTTTATTTTCCCAACCAAAATGGTCTAAATTGAGAAGTAGTCAAGAAGTTTTGCTTTTGTATTTGCCATGTGATAAATGTGTATGCATATTTGTTGTCAAGCCACTAGGGGAATATGCTTGTATAATGCTTGTTGCACATCTCTCCATAAATAAACATGACAATTGATATTGAGTTGACACTGGGATTTGTAAGTTAGAGAACATTTCAATATAAATTTTGTCCTACAGTAAATTAATTGAAGTGAATTTTTTAAAAGCATAAAACTCCTGGCCAGTACCATTTTTATAAATATTTTCCCTTAGAAAATTTGTAGTGGTATATTTAGCTTCCTCAAAATGTATCTTTGTAATGTACACTATGAAGGTATGCTTTGTATCACTTAATTGAGAGTTGATGAATTTGCATTTATGGTTTTATTTAGAAAAACAATATTTGTAAGCCTATGCTCAGCTCACATGGATAGGCTGTCTTGAGCACAGGGGACTGACTTTTCAGTAAACAAAGTTTAACAATTACCGTATGTTCCCAGATATTGTTAGAGGCTATTCTCCTAAATTACTTACCGGTACTGCACAGAATGTATAAGAGCGGATAACAAGGTTATTCATCCCATCAAAACATAATTATATGATTTTTGTTTATAAAATAAGTATTTGAAAATTAAATTGTACAATTCTGTCATTGTTTTATTTAACATATACTACAACATGAAATTTAATTACTAAAAGTATTTTTTGCCCAGCTCTTATGCCAATAAAACCATTAATTTATTTATAAAGTGGGTTGCATGAATTCATTTATCACAGTTTTGTTTCAGAATTTGAGAACCTCTATAGTTAGTTTCATTAATTATAGGTAAAATGAGTAGTGTTTTCTAGGTTTAAGAACATAATTTGTTGACTTGAAATTTTATATTATGCCACTTTTTACTATTAATATTTTGAATTGAATTAAAATTTAAAAATACCTAAAGATCGTAGAACTAATTTTTTAATGAAAGTTTGAACAATTTTTTAAAGTACAGGTAGTCCTCTACTTATGACTACAATTGAGCCCAAAATTTCTGTTAAGAGATAGATGCTAAATGAATTTTGTCCCATTTTATGACCTTTCTTGCCATAGTTAAGTGAATCACAGTAGTCGTTAAGTTAGTAACATGGGAATTAAGTGAATCTGGCTCTCCCATTGACTTTGCTTGTCAGAAGTTCGCAAAAGAGGATTATATGGCCCTGAGACACTGCAGTCGTCATAAATATGAACCAGTTGCCAAGCATCCAAATTTTGATCATGTATCTATGGGGATGCTACAAAGGTCATAAGTGTGAAAAATGGTCATAAGTCACCTTTTTTAGTTCTAACTTCTGTCACTAAGTGAACTGTTAAGTAGAAGCCTATCTATAGTTTTAGTTTATATACAATATAAACTAATTAATTAATGTATGTCAAAATAGATTTTATATATATTTGTAAAATAGATGGTAAGCAAATCATTTTTTAAAAAAAGACACTGAAATGGTGAACAAATGATACTGTGCAAAAGCATTCCTGATCTCCAGTTATTACTTGACTCATCTGAGAATAAGAACTTAATCAGCTATAGGAAGATTCTCAGTTATAGTTTTGAGCCTTTAAAAAAAATAGGATAATACCATATTCAAAAAGTTATATAATAAATCAGTCATGTTTGCTGTTGGTCAAATTCATTTATATTTTATAAGGATTATCAGTTTGCTATCTTTCATTTATCAATTATTGTCCTAAGATATGAAGCCAGATGACCCTCTCTAAGAGATCTGTATTGACTCCTAATTAAGATCAACACAGATTTATGCAGCAGGCCCTGTACTGATCAGGCAGTTAAAAATAAACAGTTGATGATGAAAACTAACAGGTCCAGCAAAGCTAACTATCCACCATTTCAAGTTATTTTAGTAAATCCTCCTCCTAGTGAGCAGAGAATAGTCTATATATTTACCACTTGTTTACTGCATTTACTTACATACTTTACCCAAAAACAGGAGTGAGCCCTTTTTCTTAATACTATCTTTTGGGAATTAATGTCCTTTTTTTTTCTCTGCCAGAAGCCAGACTATAAAGAAAAGACAGATACATTTTACTGGAAGTCTGATCTGCTCCCTTCTATAAAGGTTTTGAAATTAGTCCAAAGATCACATGAAAGTAGCTCAAGGGCTGCATGCAGCTTAAGATTGCAAGTCATCCATCCCTGTGCTATGTAAAAAGAAACAATTGTTTCTTAGCCTGTCACATATTGCAAACAGCTATAGAAAAACTGCTTGTTAGTTAATACATTATTATTGTGCTTCAGAGCCTAGGAACTTGCATTATTTTTTTTAAAGAATAAGCTAGGATAGTATTAGTTTAGAAATCACTACTAGAGGAAATTAGGGCATATGTAAGGCATGGAAAGGAAAGAAATAATATCCAGGGGAAAGAAAAGAGGAATAAAGTTGGCTGGAAAGGAGGAGTAGGGATTGTCATACGTCTAGAAGCTCCTAGGCTCTGAAGCACAATATTTTTTTGTACCAATGTTTATAATACAGTGGTATGGAAGAATTGTGCAGGATTACATTTTAATTTTCAAAGGTACATGAATTTACTTCATGTAAGGCAAGCACATAAAAACCTTTAGTTTAGTCCAGTGGTGGCGAACCTTTTAGAGACCGAGTGCCCAAACTACAACCCAAAACCCACTTATGCATCACTGGGTGCCGGGTGAGCATGGCCACCAAGTGGGCGTGGCCACCAAGTGGGCGTGGCCACCGAGCTGTCAGCTCGTGCTCGCTCGCTTGCTGTCCGCTCCAACTTGTGCTCGCTCTCTCACTGTCTGCAGCAAATGCTGCTTCTGCCGAAAGTTGCTCCTTTTATAGCCTCTGGCCTATTCCCAGACTGCGCATGTGCGGAGAGCTGCGCATGCGCGGAGAGGAGGAGGGAACAGCTCGGCCCAGCAATGGCTTGCATGCCACCAGAGATGGCTCCGTGTGCCGCCTGTGGCATGTGTGCCATAGGTTCGCCACCATGGGTTTAGTCGATGCTTCACTGTTATTTCTAAAACCTTTGTCTAAATAGAGTAAATATGTGGGATCTGCTATTCTACATTAAGTCAGCTGGTAGGAAAGGCTAACTAGTCTATGGCTGTCAGTTGAACCTTGCACATAAATTGGGCACTTTAGAGATCTGTTCCTCTTGGGTGGTCAATGGAGAGCCTGAAACTTGTTTCTAGCTCC